GTCAATCTTTGTCCACAATTGTTAACCACCTCAATTTGTATTATATTTTAGGGTTTTACAAGATTCCATAATGTCCAAATTCAACATGAAGGGGGGTGGTCCGCTGCAGAAAGAGGCATTTGAAAAGAATGCACTGTTCTCGGTCATTAGAGGTATGTGTATAAAACACACAACATTTACCAGAGAGCTTCTGTCTTTTTTTTTAGGCTGAATGGTGATACATGATATATATCTCGTTTTTGTTTTTAGTATGCATCCAAGCAAAAGAGACTCCCTGTCACAATTAGTGTAATTAAAGTAAAAAATGATCAAAAAAGCTTTTCTCGTGCATTTTTTAAAATTATTTGGCAGATGCGGTGATGACCAACTTCCGGCAGCAACAGAGTTGGACTTAAGGAATGCAGTTGTGAAAAAATTCCATATTTTTTTATTATAATCTTTATGTTTAAGTGCATTTTATTTATAATCTTTTATTTTGTCATTAATTATTTTATATTTTTATCATTTTGTATTATCATAAGTTGTCTAATTTGTTAAAAATGTTATTTTTCCTAATAAAATCTTTATATTTAATTTGTTTGGAGTCTCTTCTTGGGCTATGGCTAGACATGTATTACATTTTAACTGACAGCCTTGTTTTAGCCTAGACATCCGGGCTGAGTTTGGACGGCTATTAGACGTCTTCTAAATGCAAAATTGCTTGCTGGGTTCATGTACTTTGAAGGATGCAGCCTTTGAATTTTGACACAGTTACAGAGTGACTTTCCTGTTGTTGCAATAAAACAGATAAATAAGACAATGATATGTAATGAAATACAATAACACTCACTGTTTATCCTTCTGTTTTACATTAGAGATGTAAATATAGTTCAGCTGGAATGTCTAAATGTGGTGTGGACATAAGCAAGTGAATGAGAATGTGTTTACATGCAAATATGTTCATGTTTTATAAAGAAACAGAAAATAAGCAGGAGTATGAAACAAAAACAAAATAATTTTCACAAAGAAGAATTATAAAAAAAAAGTAACGATGTTTTAAATTAAAAGAAGAAAGAATATTTCTTTTTATCTTTTTTTTTTAATTCTTCGAACCCTCCTCTCAATACACACACACAATACTTTTTTTAATAACTTCTCTCTCTCTCTCTCTCTCTCTCTCTCTCTCTCTCTCTCTATATATATATATATATTTGGATTAAGGTACATACTCCTGTTGACTGATACTGACTGGCAGATGTCAATATGCAAATAAAGGGAAAGAGATGACAAATAAACAAATATGGAGGAAGTAAAATATGAAAATTAGTATTAGAACAAAACACAAATGATGTGACGTGCTGAATGATGGATGAGAGCAGATATAATAATCACATGAAGCTACAGACAAACACACAACCTCTAAAGTAAGAACAACTCACGTGTTCATTTTTTCACTAGAATTAGACTTTTGGCATATTCATATTGACTAAATGATAATGTTTGTTGCATTCATTCAACTGTTAAGATACCAACTGAAACTGTCATATTTGACTCCAAACCAAATCCAGAAATGTCTGATATTTGAATTTTCCAATGTGCTTCTTTCTCAGAAATGGACCAAAATCTATATTTCATTCTTCTTCTCATTGGTGAGTGTGTTTGTGGTTTTATTTATGGTTTCTAGTTTCATTAGGTTTGATCCTGTTATGAAGATCATTGAAGCAAAGCCTCTCTTTCACAGCTCTCTGCTCCGTATCTGAATGTGTTCAGCGTCAGTATCACTTTATAAATGAGAGGAAGAACTGGACTGAAGCTCAGAGATACTGCAGAGAGAAATACACAGATCTGGCCACCGTTGACAACATGAACAACATGAATGAGCTGAAGAAGAGTGTGAATGATGAAGGTGCTCAGTTTGTCTGGATTGGGCTGCAGAAGACGGGTCGTGATGAATGGCAGTGGCCTTCAGGTGAACCTGCACTCTAGCTGAACTGGGCTACTGGACAACCAGAAGGCAGAGATTATTGTGGTATGATGACAAATGTAGAATGGAATGATATGCCATGTAGTGATGCCCAATATTTTATCTGCAACAACAGTGAGTGCCGCTATTTAAAATCACAACAACTGTTTACAGATGCACCACATTTTAATGCAACACTAAACACTATCACTTTTTAATTTGATCGCGAATATAGAAGAGACTGTGGATATTTGCCACACTTTTAATGTTGAGACACTTTCTGTATAGACATCATTTTCCAGAAATAAAAACAAAAAAACACTTAATTCATTGCAGTTGTAGAATAACTTCAATCTAGTCCATGAAGGAGAAAATACTCAATTAAAATATAAAACAATCGAGCATCTGTCACGCTACAGTGAATAATAATCGCACGAGGAAGAAGAAGAAGATCAAGTCAAATAGCCTTTAATTAATCCAATCAATCCAAACTGAACAGACTAGAACTTAAGTAAACGGGCAAATGAGGATAATTAATAGAACACAGGTGAACAGAATGACGCAATCAGACATGAGGGAAAACTAGGTCACGAGCACATGAAGAAAGAAAACACAACAAAAAGTCCAGTGGCCTGTAGCACGAAGCGAGATGAACAAACTCAGAGTTGCAGAGTGAGTTTTGAGTTGACAAAACCCGATAAAGTCAACCTGGGGGCTGTTTCATAAAAGACGCTAAGAAAAGCGGGGATTAAAGTCCAAATCCTGACTTGAAATAACCTAACAAATCAATCGGGACTAAAGCGGTTTCAGAAACGACAATTTAAGTTCATGCAATCTCACTAATTCGATCCAGGTTCAATGAGTCAGGATAATTTGATGTGCACGCTTATTCTTAAGCAGCCCTTAATGTTGATCATGGATCAAATCGATCCACCATGGCAAACAGCAAATATTTGTGCTGTTTAATGCATTTGAGATGTTGTGTTTTCCTCAGTGCATAACTGACATGTCACAGGTATATTTTTCATCTGTAAATGTTAGAAAGTCATGCAAATATATACATTTTTCTGTCAGGAGTGGGCGAGGCTTAGTGAGTGAACGAGCGCTGCTGCGCTCATGCGCTAAACCGAAGTATGCGTTCTGCTAAAATATTTGTTGTTGGGCATTAAATGTGACACATGTAGAATTTTAATCCTACATATAAGTGAATTTTTATCATAGCAGTAACTGTAAATCAAATGTAAGCT